ATGGCCCACACATTTGTACGACTTTGCGATCTCAATGTCAGATGCACTTCCCTCAAGGTTTAGGGTTTCGTTCAGTTTCGAAAGAACTGAGCCTGTTGTTTTGGAGGCCGCATCAAGTGTCAGAGCTTGCGGAGTCGTCCCTGCCCACATGTAGATGGCTCCATTGTGTGATGGGGCTGATTTCGGTAAGAAGGAGCCTGTGCGAGGAAAGCCTGGTATGCTTCCAGTTGCCACTTCATGTTGGATTTTCTCTTGCATGGTCCATCTGATTCTGCATTTTCAGGGCGAATATTGTTTAGAGTTGAGGGAAGCACAACGAGGTTCTCCACGATTCTACCCGCAACTACTGTAAGTTTAATCTAATATGTGCTAAGGAAGCAACATACGTTTCTTTTAACTTACTGGTTGTTAGTAGGGAGTAAATATTCTGCTCCCTATCTAATTTCCGTATTCCCTACTAACCTCCAGTAACTAGCGCTATAGTTTCCGTCTCCACGTTCTTTTCCATTTGAGTCATATAATCCCTATCTAAGCTCTATAGAATCCCTATAGTTAACTCAAGTACCCAGCCCAAAACCCATAAAACCTAAACCCTATTATATATATATATAGAGTCCCCCTTAAGTAGATAGAATATGGAGTATATGGGGATCTTATTATAATATACCCAAAACCATATTCTATCTACTTAAGCGGGACTATGTATGTATATATATATATGTATATTCCCTTGTTTCCTGCTAACCCCCAGGAAGTCATGCTGTCAGGTCCTTGCTGTGACTAGTGTTTCGGCCGACATGGAGCTGTTCGAAGCCAGCGAGGAAGCAATGGCTTTGAGCATTGTAGGGTTTAGGGTTTAGGGTTTAGTGTTTGGGGTTTAGGGTTTGGGGTTTGGGGTTTAGGATTTAGGGTTTAGGGTAGGAGCTTGAACACGTAAGAGTCTTATCCCCATGATCCTTGAATGGACTATAAGGTACACCAAACGGCGGCATCCGGACAGACTATTTTTTGTCCCATGCTGCCCCCAGACGGCCATTTTACATTGGGTGGACTCTTCACATTCAATCCCGGTATTAAAGAGAACTTCCACGGCCTTGAGTTTTTCGGATTTAGAGTTTGTGGTCTTCAGGGAGATGACATCATGGTGACTCTTACATCGGTTCCTTACATGGCGGCGGGCCCTAAGAGATCTCCCAAAAACGTCGGACTTTGGACAATGGGCAGTGTGGAAATGCACGGACTTCAGGTCTGAGTAAAGTGTCGCCGTGATCTGAAAGCCCTCAGAGGAGTACTACCATGAGTATAACCAGTCGTACTGTTACATTGCGAGTATTAGTGTATATCGTATGACCACTACTATTACTACTTGTTCTTGTCACTGTTAGTGTTTCCTGTTTTTAAGGGCCCATAGACTCAAGGTAAAGCTGCTTCTTGGCATCGGGAAACCCAGTAAACCCTAAACCCTAAGCTCGCCTCGGCCACCAGAGCCACACATCTGAACTGAAGTTCAGGGGTTTAGCATTTAGGGTTTAGGGTAGGGACCCTGGAGTTGTGACATATTACAACCCGTGGGTACGCTTATTAGAACATTATTGTAACCTATTATTTGTAGGCGTCCTGGCACTCTCAGGCCTCTGACCCCATTCATGTGCCATGCGGTAGTTTCCCAAAATAGGAGGATCCCAAGATGGACCCCAACATATATTTTAGTGCTTATTATTGGGCTCCCTAAGGAGGCACCCCTAATTCTGGGAAACCCTTACGTTCATCTGATTTTCTATGCTTGGGGAGAATGTCCTGATACAGTCCCTATTATATACCCCTCCTAAGACTTCCATGCTCTTTTCCATTGAGTTCTCCATTACGGCAGCCTAAGGTCATCCCCTTTTGGTCTAGGGTTTAGGGGGTTTTAGGGTTTAGGGACTGCCCTAAACCCCAAACCTCTAAACGCCAAACCCTAAACCCTTAAGCCCTAAACCCTAAGAGATGCTTGGGTCGAACGTTCCCACCGGCCGCCAGGAGTCAAGACATTCGTAACCTGGCACACTCAACGACTTCAGACAAGTGGGTTCCCTAAAGACAGGGGTGTGGAGGCGGTCCTTTTTGGGGTGCCTAGAACCTAGAATCAGACTAACATGTTGGGTTCTAAGTTGGGGCGCCCTGATTCATGGCGACTTACAGATACCTGTTTCTAGTCCTTCCCTCATCCATGCCTGCGCAGGATCCGGACAAGCTCTGTTCATACAGCACAAAGCAACAGGCCGCGCACCTAAACTTCGTACAGTCTATAGTGGGGGCTTTTCATCAACAGGGGTCCTCGAAAATGTGCCCCAATACAAGGTGACCCTTACTATAGGGACTTCCAAAACGGGCTTCCCCTGATCTAGCACTCCTTAAAATGGTATTGACCTCCAGTCGTGCAGAGAACAAATGGTTTTGGGGGTATGGGGCTACAGGTGTAATTATCGACTATACATATATACATATATATATTATATACATATGTAGATAACGGTCCCTTGAAAGGGGGTTATAAGGGTATACAGGTTTTGGCTTTAGGGATAAAGTAGAATCAAATGAACAGGAAAATGGACATTAAAAGGACGCTACTGTTTACGCTTTAGGTCCCAACTCTTGCTGCTACTGTTTTTCACTGCAATCCTTTACAGTCACGGGCTATGGTTGTGAACCATACCGTGTTTTCTGTTGAGCACTTTGAGAGGGGTGGTGGGCGCCGTTACTTGTCTTGCAGCTGTGGGTCTCAAATTTGATGGAAACTTGCGGCTCCAGCTCAAATCCCGAACAGCCAGGCATCTACGAAAAGTCAGGGAAAGTGGGTAATCATATGAGAGACCTTGTGGATTCTGCATTGAAGAGAACCTTAAGTTCTCAGACTCGCCCAGTATGGCAATCTCCAACACAAGGAATCTTCCCCCCAGAAGTGGATTCATTACGGCACCCGAAACCCTCAGCCCTCCTTGGGACTCAGCTTGGACCTTAGACCATTAACCCTTTGGGATTCCCCCTAAGGGTCCAAGGACCCAAACAATAGGGTTTTTAGGGCCCAAATATTATAATATTAATGGTATTTGGGCCCTAAAGCCCTTTTATTTGGGTCCTTGGACCCTTAGGGTCCCTTTTTTCTCCTATCTATCGGTACTTAAGGTTTAACATTTAGTAGGGGTCGTAGGTGCCAAGTAGAGCCAAGGTTGAAATTCGAGACAAATGGCTGGGCATAATTCAGTGTACCATGCAGACTGCTATGGTCACCTACATTGCTGCTGGGCACTGCTTCAGAGAAAGCCACAAGGGATTTTTTTGCTGGTTCTTAGTAGGGAAGAGCAATATACTATGTAGGGTTTATATTGGGATTGTGTTTCTTAATTTCTTAGTAAGCCCAGATTCTTAGCTACAATCACCCACTTTGAAGCACAACCCAGCAGTCAGACTGCTGGGTTTACAAAGCTTTTGTCATACGGCCTACAACTCAGACTTGCCATGTGAGCTATAGTCTAAACTCCTAGTGTATCCCCCTTAGTAACCCCCATAATACTCCCTACATCATCCCCCATATAATCGCCCCCTTTAAAGGAGTTTAGACCCTAAACCCCTGTATTATATAACCCCCGTCAAGGAGTTTAGACTATAGCTCATGTAATTGTGCACTTTTTGCTTCTCTGAAGTCTGAATTCCCGCCTTCTGGGAGGGTGGGGGTCCAGAAGAGACATAGCCCAAACTCCTTAAGGGGGTTATATACGGGAGTACTATAGGGGTTTGGGCTTGTAAAAGGGGATACTAGGAATTTAGACAATGGTACAGAAGAAGGTGGAAGCAACGAAACAAGCTGGCCAACGAACACAACTTGCAGGGGGCTACTCAATTAATTTATAATCATCCAAGTCAGAATTGCCAGCGAACCTCCAAGGACACTCCTAAGCACTACAGGCTGCTTACCGGACCCTAGGGAAGCAATCAATCACCCAGTGGACGGACCTTTGAGGTTTTTGGAATTTTCATCTACAACCAGGGATACCTGGACTACGAGCCTTCTCAGGCCAGGAGAGTTTAAAAAGTCATGTTCCCAAGGCCGTCGATGGTTGGGGTAGTGCGCAGTATGAGGCGCTGTTGCTAAGATGCGCCGAACTCATTCTGGATACCTGCATTGCGCCGTGTAAGTCAAAGCAGGGAGGAAGTGGGAACCAGTCGCCTGCGGCAGGGAGATCAGTCTCAACATGCAAAGCACGTGTCCAGAAATCAGAAACTGCCACAGGGGGCCATCGCCACCCATGTGCATGGCAATTTCGTGGCCATCAGCAGCGGAAAGCCAAAAGTTCGCCACTGGGACTTTTATAGGCTTCAAGTGATACGACCCTGGTTGTTTTGAACCGTTACAATCTGTGACATGGCTTGGGTAGTGAGGCTGCGTCTTCTGTCAACTTGCGTTGAGCCTCTAAAAAAACATATCGGATGTTCCGCAGATCTATGACTGTTTGCATGCGGTTTTGGGAGCGGCCACGTCTGCTAGATAAGAAAGATGGACGTTGTTCAAGCTTTGACTCTTCTTACCTGATGCTGCTGCATGGTGTGTGAGGGAGCAAAGTCGTGGTTTCTAGGAACACGAGGAGCCCAATACATGCGTCAGATGTTGTCATCCCCATTATGGAGACTCCCGAAAAGGCTAACGTTTGGAAACATCCAGGCTTCGAACATCCTACAGCTGGAGGCGCAACAGTTATAGAAGGGCTTCATCTCTTGAGCACCAAGATTTGGCAGCATGATAGGGCAGCGGTGACCATGACATTGGCTGCATCATATTGGCAACGTGAAGTTGCTCATCCTCTTGCACATCTCCCAGCGTGGAGCTTTTGCTCGTTTCGTTCAACCTTGGGTCCACAAATCATGGAGAAACATATTCTTACCCGAAATGTTTGCAAAATAGTTTTCCTCCCCACATATTTTTCCCAAATGCCCACAAATCATAAATGCTCCGCTGGGCCAAGGCTATTTCACTTCTGAAGAGGTCACCTATCCCGGCCTTGATGCATGGCGGAAAAGGTAGAGCAGGAGGGAGGTGGGCTCCATGTCGTGCGATCCTGAGGGGCATTCGCCAGGGATCATGAATAGGTGAGGGAAGCTTCTGAAGGAGAACAGATGCTAGCAGTCCTTTCTTGGGTGTAGATTTGGTAAGCTCTATAGACCCTAGACCCTCAACCCCATGGTCATTCAGGGGGACCGGCGCTGGACTTAAGGAGAACGGGAACGTCTTCGTCGCAACGCGGCTTGATATCACCCGCCAGCAGAGGGGTGTTTGTGAAGATAAGCTGCTCCGCTGTGAGTCGGATGCAGATTGTCACGCTCAGGTGGGCTGGTTCTCAGGCAGGCGTCTACTAGGGGCTAGGTTATTCTTACGTTTTAGGGTGTCGGGTATGGCATGTAGGGTTTAGGGTTGGGGTTATATGGTGGATAATGAGGATATTGTAGAGGTATGTAGGGATTATGGAATTCCGGGAAACGAAATGAAAAAGACACGGGAAACGAAATGAAAAAGACATGGAAAACGACATGGAAACTACTAGTTAGGGTTTAGGGCTTATGGATATTTCCCCGATAATGGAGAATCAAACAGAGAAAGCAACGGACAATGACATGGAAACTTGATTTTGTGGTGATTGAGGTTTTCTTGTCAGCGTCTTACACACTGTGCCCAGACCCTAAGCCCTAAAGCCTAAACCGAATCCAATGTTCAGCCTTGCTATTTGGTCAAGATGCCCCAGTCAGGTGGACGGAAAATGCTCTGAAAAAGGCTTTTGCATTGAGCCTTCCTGGTGCGACTCAGAGGAGCAGGCAGAAACCTGGAAAGCAAAGGGTGGTGCCAACTTGTTTTATATTGGGGTTATAGGGGAATAATGGAACAGAAAATGGAAAAATGTATTGTAATAGGGTGTATATTGGGGTGATATTGGGATACGGAAAAGAGAATGGAAACGGCTATTGCAGAAGGTGCCGATTGTTTCGCAAGAAGGTTCACTAGAAAGGGATGATGGTGGCCTATTACTAAGGATTCTAGAGGAGAGACTCTCCGGAAAGTCCCACATGGAGAGTAAACTTCCGCTGTTGCCCTGAGTGGAACAATCAGACAAGTGTTCACGCTGGCTTTTGTTAAATAGAAGCCTCTGGGGGGTACTTGGAAATAATTTTTACTCTTTGCTAGGGCTTGGGGTCGTTTGGGGTAATTCAAGACCTAGCCGTACAAGAACAAGTAGCCGAAACCAAATGAAAAGTAGAGGGGTAAGAAACATTCATATGTCCTTAACTTCTTGGTATGTTAAGGCGGCTGCACCTGCGCTGCATAGCATGATCATCTTTTCAGTCGTACCGTACTGCTATTATTGAGGAAAGGAGTTTGGGGTTTTGCTTGGTTTATGTTCTAAAGCGGCTGCTCCTGCGCTGCGTAGAGTTACAGGGTAGTAGGATTCTAAGGCTTTTAGGTTGCAACCCTAAACCCTCAAACCCTGAACCCTTTGGTTGCGTTCCGCATTGAGGGCTCTAGAATGATAGGGTGGTTTCCTGTGTAAATTGCAACCCCTGGCCCCTGGCATCAAAAAAATAGACCTTAAACCCTAAACCCTTAACCCTATAGACCCTCAACCCTAAACCCAAACAACACGTAACCTCCCATCACCAGATTCATCCCAGACCCTAAACGTAAAGCCTGAAGCCCTCTTCTTGCCATCGCCATCGACGGGGTCATCGAGATGCGTCATGCCTGGGGCCTACACGCGGTTTATAAGAATAGGATATAATGTAGTGCGGCTGCGCGTGCGCCGCTTTAGCGGGTTTTTTTGAGGGTTAAGGGTTTGGGGTGCAAGTAGGGCGGCAGCGCGTGCGCCGCTGGATTATAATGGATTTCAATTAGGGCGGCTGCATCTGCGCTGCATATAGGCTCCTCCTTTACATCAACATATTTATAAGGCTAGGGCGGCTGCACTTGCGCTGCGTAGGCTGGCACTCATGCTTTGTTTCAGGGTTTATGGCCCAAGAGTTTAAGGTCTGGGCTTTAGGAATTTACGGTTTTTGGGGTTAAGGGATTTAGGGTTTTATTTTTTGGGGGGGTTAGGGATTTAGGGTTCAGGGTTCAGTACATACAAGGCGGGATGGATGAGGACAGAGGACAGGTCTTGGGACATTATTGTGGTGTGCGGACACTAGTGTGATGTGCATGAGTGCAGGCGTGCGAAGTAGGATGCAGTGAGTGGGCCCTTGCACGCGTGCCGAGGTTGGACCTGGGCTTCTGGCTGCCATCTGCGATCTATTATGCACCTCGACCAGCAGAAATTTGGGTTTTGATAAGACTCGAACTTATGTGGGGCTGGTCCAGCGTTTATTCCGGTTGATCGGGGCTACTGTCAGTACATAGGTCGTTAAGTGAGTCAATATGTTGAGGATGCATGGACGAGGGTGCATGGATGGTCAAATTTTCTCCCGATGAATTGATTCAAAATTTGGCTATCATGTCGGCGCAGCAGAACCCCGCCTCACCTGCAACCCAGATCCATGAACTACAAGTCCTGATGATGCTTCCTCAATTAGATTACCACTTGACCCACCAAAAGCGAGCCGAAGCTAAACACCTCCGTCCTGCAGGCACATTTGCTCAAGCAGTCAACAGTGACCCATGTTTGCAAGCTTTCCCCATATCTCATGATTTACTCCCTACTCCCCGACCTCTCATTCATTTGAGCCCTCATCTCATATTATTCCGCCGGCAGGGAGGTGCATCCAGATTGGAATTCAGGGATGATTCAGCAGTGCAGCTGTCAATGCGAGGCATAAATGCAGCCTAGGCAAGGCAATTCTTCCACCTTTTATAGCATTGTCGCATTAGGTCAGATGGCCGCTTGTGCAGGTCTGCTGTGCCACTGCTAGGGAAGTGCTAGTGACTCTCACAGTCATCCGCTATTGGGTTCACTTCCTCTTGCGGTCTGAGATTTGCCATGGCTGTGATCCCGCCTCGATTTCCTAATCCTCCTGCTGGTGGGGCTGACAATCCTGGTGATAGGAACGGTCCGCCGGGTGGCCCTGGCAGGACAAGGGCAGGGGCAATGTGTAATCCAAAGCGATAGTGTTCAACATAGGGTAGATTCCGCTGTGTCCGAGCTATTTCGCACCATCCTAGCTACACGCAACTTGGTTGCTGACATGGGTCCCTGATTAGGAGCTCAACTTCGCATGGCCGTGGGATGCTGATGAAGGCTCTGCGTGTCCAGAAATCGGAGTTTCGCGAATGCTACCAGGTGGGGGGGTATTTTCAAAACCGGTAACCAGCGTATAAAGGGCTTTAGGGGGTTTTAGAAGAACCCGTGCAAGGAAGAAATGGCGGCGATGAACCAGGCCTTTCAGGAGGAGTATGCTGCTATGGGCCGGGGCTTCGCTGAGGAGCAGGCTGCGATGGAGGAGCGCCGCGAGGTTGGGCGGTGAAAGTTAAGTAGATGGAGTAGTCTTAGTCTGTGGGAGTAGTAGAATTTAAACTAGCAGGTATCATATTCTGACTCGGTCCCTAGCAGGCAACCATTGCAGAAGCTGTTTCAGAGCAGATGGAGATTCGGACCCAGAGGCTGACTGAGCTGGCCGCCAGGAGGACCTGCGTCTCGCGGCCATATTGACAGCAAGCATTGATTTTGCTACAATGGTATTAGTTTTTGATCTCATTATTCGCTTCGGCCATACTCAACCCAGGCCATGATCGACAACTATGAGTCCGAGCTGAAGGCTGCTGCCCGCCAGAAAGAGGCTTGTTGAAGAAATTTTGCCTTTTGAAGTTGAGTAAACAGAACCCCTGAATTGACAAACAGCAATGGATCCCTGCAGATCGAACGCCATATGACCGACGGACATATCCGTGGTTTGAAACGGACGAGCTCTCAATCCTGTACTGAGCTGACGCAGTTGCGCTCGACACTGGAGGACAGCGACAAGATTATTCATGCGTTTAGTTGCGCTTAGAGGCTTAGGGTTTCAATTTCGTGGCTTAGGATAGGGTTAGGGATCTAGGGTTCGGTGTCCCTTCAGGAGGCACAGGCAGAAGCTGCGACCGCTTTGAGCTTTCGACGTGCGGAGTACAGAAGCCGAGCCGAGTTGAGAGACAAGTTGCGGACGTCGAATGCCATGCTGAGACTCGCCCTTGCCAACCACGTCCCGGCCGATATGCAAGCCAACTACCGTGTGGAGGGCATGGAGGATTGAAAAAAGCGCGCATGGCTTCAGGGGTTTCCCATCAATAAATTACAATTCAAGAGAACCAAAGATGTTGAGCTTCAGGCTTACGGTTGCAGCAGCGCCCCCATTCACATAAGAAGCCCGAGGTAAGGATGTACTTATCCGGGTTATTCTCATGGCTCATGGGTGTGAGCTTGGATTTCACCCTTCTTTGCAATCTAACAGCTCGCAATCTTGCGCATCCCAGGTATTGGATTCTGCGCTGCATCGACCACGGCCTGGGCCCCTGGACCTAGCGTGCCATTCCTGATTGGGATCGTGTGAACATAGTTCAGGAATAGCTGCTGCAAAGTAATTATGGGTTGTTCTGGTCTTTTGTGCTTTCAGCTTCGTGTACAGTTCTAGGTATCGTTTATGCTTGGTTCAAGTTGGTGTCGCGGGCTTTTAATCTTAGGGTTGGGCTTGTGGGCTTGAAGTTCTAGGCTATTCGGGCCAGTATAGTAGTAGGGTCTAGCTTTGATTTCGGGCTGTGTCTTGTGATGCTTTGGTTGCACTTCGCGTGGGCTTCGAAGGTTGGATTCGTGGTGAGTGAGGTTCAGGATAAATTGTTATGTTTGCGGTCGATTTGTAATATCATACTCTTGGGCCACTTGGAGTGTAGTTTAAAATCATGTTGGCATCAGATGGCATCATTAGTTGTGCCCCATTACTACTGCCCTCCCGAGCCTGGCGCAATATGAATCATCCAGCATATTCTGCAGGGGTTCGCACGTCCAAATAATGTTTGAAATACAACTTTTGTAGTTTCCAGTAGGTGCACAAGCGCCTATGCCCGAATGCAGCGTTGATTCCACTTCCAACACTTATAATGCAAGCCCGAATCCACAAGCCGAACTTGAGCCGACAGCCCGAAATCTGCTCAGGTATTAATCACGTTAATATTCCTCCGGACCCTGGCGCCGGGCCCCGATGGCCCGATTGCCACAAACAATTATTATGTTCTTCATATGCGCAATTGTATCTACCAAAAAATAAATACGCATACGTAAATACATGTAATTTTTTTATTCTAAAAATGAATTTTCCATATTGCTAAATTCCCCGCCTCGGGGCCTGACGTCAGGAACCAGCACCGGGGCCCGGCACTGGGGCCCGGCGCCGGGTCCCGGCGCCGGGGCCCGGC